CATACTTAAATTAAAACACTTTTATTTACAAATATTAAAAAACGGTTGTTTTTAAATAACGTACATAGATTTGAATTTTGAAACAAACATCACGTTTATTGACATTAATTTTCAATTTTAGCAAAAATTAATTTGTTTTACTTCACAGTATGAAGAAACTCTAGTTGAAATGTATGTTCGATAGGACTGACAATGAATTACGTTTTAATCAAATGTGTCAATTATTAATATTTATTTTTAGCAAAATATAATAAGATTTACTTCGCAGCATTAAGAAACACTGACAATGAATTACGTTATTATCAAATATGTCAATTATTAATATTTGTTTTGATTTTTAGCAAAAGATAGTTAGATTTATTTCGCAACATCCATAAACACTAGTTGGAATTTATGTTCAATAGGACTGACAATGAATAACGTTCTTATCAAATATGTCAAATATTAATATTTATCTTTAGCAAAATATAATAAGATTTACTTCGCAGCATTAAGAAACACTAGTTGGAATTTATGTTCGATAGGACTGACAATGAATAACGTTCTTATCAAATATGTCAATTATTAATATTTATCTTTAGCAAAATATAATTAGATTTACTTCGCAGCATTAAGAAAGACTAGTTGGAATTTATGTTCAATAGAACTGACAATGAACTACGTTTTTATCAAATATGCCCATTTTTAATATTTATTATTATCTTTAGCAAAATATAATTAGTTTTACTTCGCAGCATAAAGAAACACTAGTTGAAATTTATGTTCGATATGACTGACAATGAATTCGTTTTTATCAAATATGTCAATTATTAATATTTATTTTAATTTTAACAAAATGTAATTAGATTTATTTCGCAGCACTAAGAAAGAAAAATGTCATTAATTTCACCTCGCAAAATCCTAAGCCGCTTATTAAAGTTTATTTTTGATGTGATTAATACTGATTTGAGTTTGCATCAAACAACTAATTTATTAACATTTTTCTTGAAAATGTTAGAAACATAGTATCCGCATCACTTCGTAACATCAAGCAACATTAATAGAAATTTATGTTCGATAGGAGTTGCAGAGAGTTAGAGAGAGATAAGAGGCGAAAGTGATGCTGAGTTATTTGCAAACGGAATTTCCTGAGAGGCGCTAAGTTTATCGATCAGGGGAACTCGCACTGTTGAGATGAAAGAGGGGTGGCGCAGATTTCGATCCTCGCATCCCCGGGACGATGGAAAAATCGAATTTCCGGGCACAAACAACTCCAGGATACTTTTTCCCTTTTCCTCTATCTACACAGTAACAAAAATGTATCAGACAAGCATTGAAAAAAAAATTTTAAGATTTTTTTAAACTGCATATGATAGTCGTAATACAATTGAAAAGAACAAAACTATAAATAATTTAAAAACGGATACATTTTAGCAACAATCGACACACATAATTGCAAAACTTAACAACTCTAATTACTTATAACTTTAATAACAAAAAATTAAATCAATAAAATTTTTTTTAATCGCTGGATACGAGGAGAATGTATGAAACTACAATAGTTTTTACGAAATTACAAAATGTCAATTATATTCTTTTCCTAAATTTATTCCTTAATATCTATATAAAGAAAAAAATGTGTTATATGAGAGAGTTGCAAAGCGTGAAACCTTATTTTAACACGATAATTAATAATAACATTTAATTTTTAAAATTCAAACGCGTTTTCCTAAATCGAATTTTTAACATATTTCTCCCTGTACAAAAATGTAGTTTCTATAACAGTTAATTAAACCAAAATAAAATTTTTTAAGTTTCATAATCACTATTTCCAATGTTTCAATTTCTCAAATTATTTCTTAGTTTTTTTAAAAATAAAGGAAAAAAGTGTTACACATAAGAGTTTAATTCAAAGCACGAAATCTTATTTAAACGCTATAATTCAATAAAGATGAGTTTCAATTAAAATAAAAACACGTTTTCCCTAAATCGAACTTTTAATATATTTTCTTTTCAACGTGAAAATGTAGTTGCCATAACAGTTAATTAAATCAACATAAAATTTTTTTTTTAAAGTTTTCAAATCACTTTCTAATGCTTCAATTTCCCAAATTATTTTTTAATGTCTAAAAAAAGAAAATAATTGTTACATATAAGAGTTTAATTCAAAGCACGAAACCTTATTTAAACGCTATAATGCAATAAAATTTAGTTTCAATTAAAATAAAAACACGTATTCCCTAAATCGAACTTATAATATATTTTTTTTTCAACCTGAAAATGCAGTTTCCATAACAGTTAATTAAATCAACATAAAATTTTTTTTTAAAGTTTTCAAATCATTATTTCTAATGCTTCAATTTCCCAAATTATTTTTTAATGTCTAAAAAAGAAAATAATTGTTACATATAAGAGTTTAATTCAAAACACAAAACCTTATTTAAACGCTATAATGTAATAAAGTTGAGTTTTAATTAAAATTCAAACAAAATTTTCTCTAAGCGAAAATATCGCTTCTACGAAAGTTAATCAAACCAACATAAAACTTAGCATGTAGCTTTAAAATAACTTTTTCTAATGTAGTCGACAGTCGACAAAAGACAATTCTTTTATGGTGCTCAGTGAAATTATTAAAAGGAATGTTTTTGATTTTTTAAATATAGAAGAAACTTTAATTAAAAGAGAATTTTTGTGTTTTAGGAAATTTATATGTTATACTAGCTGTACAGGAGATATTTTTAACACAGTATAACACAACAAGATATTTAACTCTACTACCTTATAACTACAAAACTGTAAAAAGAAAAAAATTCGTTATCGTTTATCAACAGCTATCAGAAAATTTCCTTTCTGTTATTTTCATTGCTTTTTCACTGAGGTACTTTTATAAAATCTTTAAAGAATGGGCCAAAACCACAATGCTACGATACTCACTTAGTAATTTTAAACATGATTTAATTTTTTGTCAACTTGGCACCACTTTTTCGAAGAACCTTTTGTTTATACTTCGAAATAAATTATTTTACAAAAAAAGAATATACAGATGACGTTAAATAAAATTTTATGTTTGGATAAAATATTATTAAAAATCACGATTTGATTATGTCTTCAATAGGTCAAAAACTGCAAAAAGGATAGTCAATTTCTTTGGGATGAATATAACTATCCGTAATTGAAAAATTGGATGCTCCACTTTTAACTTTTCCACAAGACTAGAAATTAACAAAATGAGAAAAATTGTTAATTATAGGCTAAGTGTAGGATTTTTTCGCAAACAACACTTTCTTTCCTGTAAGTCTGAATTATGGAGATTTAAAAAATAACATAATATGTAATAAATGAAATATAATAAATAATAAATGAAACAAAGTAAAAATATCGATTTTATTCTCCATTATCATTTTTTATAAGTTAAGTCAGTTGGTTATATTTTAAATTAAAGGGAATAACTTAACACATTTAATTCTGGTCAGGAAATAAATCGCAAGTTTCATTAATGTTAAGTTCACTTTTTTAGTATTTCGCCATATTTCTGGAATTATTTAAGTGAATAAGATGACGTCACCAAATGCAGATTCATATGAACTAACGGGAATCTCCTCACTTGTTCTAGTTCTGAAAAAGCTACAAACTTAGTCATTTTAATAAAATATTTCTTAACTTTATAATATTTTAAAAAATTACGTTAATCATTCATAAGTGGCCCAATGTATAAGGGACGCATATAGACATGCATTTGGTACATATGTAAAAGATTTAAAAAAAAAAAAAACATCGTTAGCTAATAAATCTTTAATATAACAGATATGTATCCTACACGGCGAATTTAAGTCATGCAGTATTGTGCTAAAGAAACGTTTGGTAGAATTTTCAAAATCAAATGTGAAGTCTACTGGAATATATTTTAATAAAAATTTAACGCGTGTTGTATTGCTATAATTTAATGCATAAAAAATTCTACTTAAACATAATGATTAATTTTTAAATTAAATGGTGAATAATTAATTTCATACAGTGCAAAAATATCTAATATCACACTGTAAAAAATAACGAATCAAATAACGGTGTTAAGTACCCGTATAATCTGTTTTACCATACAATTCACTTTTAGCATAAAATATTATACCTTGGTTTCTGCTTCAGTCTGGGATATCTTTTTTTTTCCCTTTTTGGTCTGTTTTAAAATCAGCAAGAGATCATCTTAATGAAAAAAAATTTCTGGATATGGATCAAATGCCTAATACTACTACTAGTTATGTATTACTACTCATGACATTGCTGTTAAAATCATGATCAACAGTTTCTGACTGAGTCTGGGATATCTTTTTTCCTTTATGGTCTGTTTTAAAATCAGCGAGAGATCATCTTAATGAAAAAAAATTTCTGGATATTGATCAAATGCCTAATACTGCTACTACTATGTGTAACTATTTACTCATGACATTGCTGTTCAGATGAGTCTGGGATATCTCTTCTTTTCCTTTCAGTTTATTACAATATCGGCAAAAAATCATCTTCAGGAAAAAACATTTCTGGAGATGGACTGAATGCCTAACTAAGAAAAGCTCAATCTTATATTTTGAAATGTAAATACTTGCTAATATGTTGTAGAATGGGTGCCAAGATCTAGTGGTTGTAACTTAAGGGAATAAGAGGGAGGAAAGATTAATAAAAATACTACAGTGAACTGCCTACATGTTAATTGTTCACATCTGCCCCAGATTCTGCTGTGCACCCTTCATCCTCTTTCGGTATAATTTGCAAAAATAAAAATTTATTAATTTAGTAAAAAAAAATTAAATTCTCATAAATTTACTTGAATATTGTAATAATTGATTGCAGCTTATTAATCAAATTAAATTATGTGATTTTTAATTGTAAATTATATAAGTAGGGAATAACTTTTTCACATGTACTCCCCTTCTTTATCTCGTTTTTACCGTAATGAATTATACGTTTAAAATAATTCAGTGTCTTAAAAAATAAGATAGCATTTAAATCTTTTTTATTTCATTTTCTAGGTTTACCACGTCCCCAGATGTCCAAATCTGCCCATCACAAAAAAAAATTGCAAAGTTATGCCAGTTTTTACTAAATCATAATTATACTAAAATAAAAAATGATGTCAAGGTGTTGGATTGAAGTTGGAGCATCAATAAGGAAAAAGTGGTTGAATAAGGTAGGTAAAAAAAAAAAAAAAAAAAAAAAAAAAAAAAAACGACGAGTTATTTATGTTTAAGGGTGATGTAACTCTCAAAAGCTTCTAGGTTCTATTAGTCGAATTAGAGTTTCAGAAACAGTTACGACAGTTAACCACTCGCAGATAATTGAGTATGATGTATAGGAAAATAGGTCTGAAATGTTTAATTGTATAATTATTACAGAACTACTTTAGGAAGGAAAAAAATCCTGATAAATATCAAGAAAAACCTATTTCACTTTTTCATATCTAGCTTATTTTCGAAAATAGTAAAGTATATACAAATATACTTTTAACAGTTACGTATAACATTTAAACCAAATTGATTTTTTATCTGGGAAAACTGTAAATAGTCAAAGATAGCAAACTAAAAAGAAACTATTTTACTGAATTACATGATCTACATACTACTCTACATTTTCTGAAATTTCTTAAATGTATAAAGATTTATAATTAAACAAAAATATTTAATTTTGTTGACGTCATTAACGATTTTACACAGAACATATGGAAATTAATGTTTAAAGCTGTCTTAAACACTATGCATTTAAAAAAATAAATATCTAACAATGTTTTTTACTGGTATTTAAGTGCGTATTCAACACCAAATTATATCCCACAATTCATTGTATTAATATTATGTAAATAAAATTTAAATTAATCGCAAGGTTCAAATACAACTATTAGTTGCAGTCACTCATATAATTTGGATGTTTTCACACTTTTACAATACAAACGAAGATTATAAGATTTTCTTCATAATCTTCCATCATTAGATTATCTTCATAATTTCAAAATATTCTTTTCAGATCAAATTTCCACCATCTGCAAATTCTAAATATGGTGACGATCCAAATTCGATTTGCTCATTGAAGTACTAAGGATGAGAAAGGGACTCATATCTTACAAACTTTAACTGTATTTATAGTTTTAATTAAGACGGGTGAAACGAAACATAAGAAAATGCATGATGTTGTAGAAGCCATACATTTAATTAAAGTAGAATGTGAAGTAAAATTTATGCACTCAGCAGAACATATATCTTAGATAATACTCGAATTGGGCTGAAACTACAGCATCCGATCACTTCAAGAACAACTGAAAGGAAAGCATAACTTTTCATATTGACCAAAGCTAATTCAATATAAAATAAAATAATGTTTTTTAATCTAATGGAACATATTACTTCCATTGTATTCATCTTACCCATCTAATCCCATTGTATTTATCTTACTTCCATTGTATCCATTGGAGTTGTATGTGAAATACAACTTCAATATTCTAACTCAGTTCTATGTTTTTTTTTATTTTATGACTCAAGTTCAATATTGCTTACTGCGTTGCAAAATGTTCCCAAATTAGTCTGTATTTGCTGAAAATCTAATTTTTCTTTTTCTAAAATTAGAAAATCTAATTTTTCTAATTTTTAATTAGAGCGTTTTACTTTTCCATGATATGAGTTTTACTATACACCGGCTAGCGGGTAAAATAAAATATTGTAAGACATTTAAAAGATATTGCTTACTAATTAATAAAAAATTTAGGAAGAAAATTACAAAATAAAAAGTGTATTTTTGCATTACTTATATTTTGGTGCATTCGAAATCGTGGCTAGAAAAAAAAATACTTAGCCAACTTTGTTTCATTCTATTTGATTTTTCTTATTGAATAAACTATAAGACTTAGTACTTAAAGTTTATAGTTATTTAACTGTCTCTATATTTAAAAATTTACTACCCGAGTTACCGTTATTAAGCATGATCAAGGTGGAATAAGCGAGTAAAGATGTCTGAAATTAAGTAAGCAAGGGACGGATTTCCTAGTTATTAAAACGAAAGCAGTTTTACTTCTTATTTTAAATACATTTCAAAAATAATATCCTTAATTAAAAAATTACTGCTTATGTAAATGTTATAGTTTTTTTTTTCATTTGAGCAATTCTCAAAAAGTGGGAGCATAGCACAGATCTCATCATTTCACATTTAACTCACACTGAAAATTCTAGAACTAAATTTATAATGCTGTCTAGCGATAGGAATTAACATAAATTATTGCAAAAATTTTCAATAAATACCGAAAAAAAATTCTAACAAAAAAGACCATTTTCAAGAATGTTAATTGAGCCAATTTAACAATAAAATGTTTTTGCAATATAGTGTCTAGATCAATTTCTAAATCGCTTAATTTCTACTCTCCATTGAAAATGAATTGTTAAAAAATGGCGAGTAAGTTTTATCATTTAAAAGATTGAGTTTCAAATTTCATATGCGCTTAAATAATTCTGATTAAATGAAGCGACGAGAGGAAGTGTCACGAAATAAAATAACTTCATTTTCTTCTATTTAAAACAAAAAAATGCTAAATCACCCACTTTATATCTACGAAACCATTGCTTCTCGAAACTTTTAAAATTTAGGTCATTAAAACACTACATCTCTCAAGATTTTGAGAAATGTATATTTTTTATGAATATGGCGAGGAAACATTATAGTCCGGCTAGTACCTTTAGAGCTGAAATTTCATTCCTTTGTCTAGATCAGAGTGGTTCCTGAACTTTTTTTGTCTCGTAGACCCCTTGCCAAGTTTTTCGGTTTTGGGTTGACCCCCTGCTTAACTGATATTGATTTTTTGTAAATTCATCAACTTCAAATATGTATTTTTGACAGCTCGCATAGTGTTACTCACTGTGAAAGAATTATAATTCTAACTGTAGTGACGTGCAGTGTGAAAAACTTAAGGAAAAAAAACATGTTAATTTTATACATTTATTAATTAAATTCAAATTAAAACGAACCTAATTAAAATTTAGTATCTGTTATATAAAATAACTAAGCAATAAATAAATGCTTTTAGTGGGAGGGATGAACCTGATGCTTTAATAATAAATTATCAACATTTGGCATCAATTTAGTTAGGTTTAATCTCAAATCTCCTGGGTTAATGATGTCCAGTCTGTTTCTTCTTTTTTTGTTAGGTGATTGGCAACTGCGCTGAAACCCCTTTCCACTAGATATGAAGATGAAAAAGTAATTAAAAACTTTCTCGCGATATACCATAATACGAGTTAAGTATATGTGCATTATGTGTTAAGTTTTTACCTAGTTCAAAGTGCATTGAGACCACAAAGAGAATGTCTACAACATTCACAATTTCATGAAACATACTAATTTAATTTAATTAATATGTAAATGGAATAAAATAGTACACTATAAAACCCCTACTCCGCTACTAATATTATAAGTGCGGAAATAAGTTTGAATACAAAACCGTAGTAGTGTAATTGTCGGTTTGTTTATTAAATTTTCCCGTAAAAACTGAGCAACATATCTCCGTAATCTTGTGCGCAGATAAAGTTGGAGGTCTAGCTAGCTAAAGAGTTGACACAGGCTAGGCTACAATTTACCGCGGAAAAATCCTTTTTTGTTACAAAATAAAACCTTGCACGCAAAGAAAATAAAAACGTACGCGGCCGGATGCTAGTTTATAATATTTCAGTTTCATATATCAAAAAATAATCCTAATAATTTAAATTTTAATAAAATTTTTACTTCATAGCTACTTTTATAAATTATGTAGAATGTAGATAGATATATTTCTTTATATTATAAGGTAGTATAATGTAAGTAAATAGGTACTAACAATGTATATTGATTATTCCATTCATGAAATGCCAAAATTAAAGTCACGACCTGCTTATATGAGATGCACTATCGTTGACCCCCGTTTTCATTTCATGGACCCCCAATTTTTTTTCCACTTGACATGGACCCCTTGCAAATTGTCGTCGACCCCTGGGGGTCGATATAGACCACTTTGGGAATCACTGGTCTAGATGCTTACTATAATTTTTCATGTACATATTTATTTATGTTTTATAAAATATTTCTGTAACAAAATACCATTTTCTAACGCGCAAAATTGAAAAATGAAATAAATAAATGTAACGTACTCCGTAAGTTTTTTTTTCTTCACAGATTTACCAATTATGCTAATCTGATGATCCAAAATTCAATTGAAAAGTTAATTTTTACTAAATACAAAAGTATATAGCAGGAGTAATGGATATTTTGCGCATATAGCATAAAAATAAATACAAGTAGCTAGCTGTTGTTAACGCTATGGATGCCATTTTTTAAGAAGTGCGAAAAATGTGTAGAATTGTTAATAAAAAATTAAATGGAAAATCAAATTTCGGACAGAAAAGATAAAAACCATTTTATTTTGATTCTTTTTTATTGAACTAGGAGGCTTCGCCCCGATTCGCTTCGTTCACCAACTCCCATTATTGCTTCTCATTCATCATTGAAGATCAAGGAAATGGACGGCTTAAGTCAAAACTTACGAAATTGCCATCTGTGGCATTTTCAGGATGACTAAATTTTGGAAAATTAATAACATAGAAAATCTATACCCTCACATCCCCGAGTTATTAAAAACCCCGAGTTAAGAAAAAAGGCCGCGCGGCAAAAAAACAAACAGTACATGCTCGTGAGCAAATTCGTTTTTTTCTCAGAATCAGTTTTAATGCAAATAAATCACTAATCATTCAATCCACTAAGAAGTTTTTTTTCCTTTAAAATCGATAAAAAAGATCAATTTGTTTAAAAAGTATATAATTATTATACTTTTATGTAAGCAAATTTTATTAATATGTTGATCGTAACGAAATGAAAAGACAGTTGGATTTGAAAAATAATCAAATGTAATTGAAATTTTTTTTTTACCTTGAATGGAATGCAGAATACGTGACGCAATAAACTAAGAAATGAGAAGTTATTTTAATTGCTAATAATATATAAAGATAACCTTATTTTTTTGTTACTTTGAACATCAAGTCAAACGCCATCTTGTAAAATGAAAATGCGAGAGATAAATTTTTCTATAACAATGGATAAATTATTATTATTTAGAGGAAAAAAAATTGCAAAAACACTTAGAAATTGCGATAACTTTCAAACAAATAGGAATTTAAAAAAAAA